TTCTGGGAGTTGAAGTCCACTCATCTTAAAGTGGCCAAGTTTGGACAACACTGCTTTAACTTATTATTCAAACATAGACTTGGCAGTTGATAAACATAGTTTATAGCTCAGCCTGCAGCACAAATCCTGAACCAATGGTAGCTTATTGAAATGACGGCTTAGTCCAATTTGTGAACTCAGCCACTGTGTGATTTGTTTGTTCTGTGTGAAAGCAGAATTCACCCATTATGGCTCAACGTGCTGCGCAAGCAGATTGTCCTGCGACCTGCAAACTTGCTTATGAGATTACTCGTTGACTATGAAACGGTTTGTGGAAACATCTGTTTCAAAAGGAGGCATTATAAATTCATAAACAGTTGAATGTTTCTCCAAAAAAATGGCTCACCCTTATTAATGCTCTGCCTCTGCTTTGACAATTCTGCTCCTTTCATCCCACTCTGTTTTTAATTCGTACACTTATTTTTGTCCTGTTTCATAAGCCCAGAGTGGAAGGAAATGGGAAGGAAGCTATTCTGTTCCTTCTTTTGGAAATACCAGTTGGGCGGGTGATGCCTCCCGTCACACAGTTTCCAGTTAATCGTGAAACCCTATATAAATTTAAAAACTGGTGGCTGAATTTGACCCTTTTCCTTCTTTTAAGTTCTTATTGCGAGAATCAACTTGAAAGCAGGGATGGCCGCTTTTTTCCAGATTGGAAGTAAACCTGTCTCTAAGTAATTAAAAATACCATAAACCAGAAGACGATCCCTGTGGTCCTCTAGATATGGCTGAACTCCAACTTTCAGCATCCTTTGGGACAAATTATGATGGGGAACTACTGGAACATCGAATGTTCTATGTACTTGATTTAAAGAATAAGTAAAAGTTTATATTCTGAGAAGGATAACAGTATTTCTGTCATAGTTTCAGGTCCTGAGTGGATTTGAGCTCTTCTGAATGTATGTCATCTGAACTTGCTTGAGAAGGGGTTATATTTCTGTTGATTCTTTTCTTAGACTTCTGAAATCTCCCCAGAAGAACTAAAAACAACTCAAGAACTTAAGAGAAGAGAGACAAAAAGTGTTAAGAGTTTCAGCAATGGCCGCAAGGAGGTTTTTTCCACCAACCTTTCTCATGAGAATGAAGCAAGAAGGTATGAAAGCCTGGGAGTGTTATGGCTGTTGGTATCATGTTTTAGGTGAGAAGAGCATACAGTAAATCCTCAATTTACTGGATTTTGGTTTAGCGGATTTTAGACATGATGAAAAGATTCCGTCTCCCATTTTGCACATGCATAAAATCCCATTTGCCATTTAACAGACCTTCTGATTTAACAGACACCCCTTCCTGCCATTAGTCTCTTAAACTGAGGGTTTGCTGTGATAGGTGGGATGCAGCTTTGGTCTGGATGTCTTGCAACGCACTATTAATATCCTTTCTGGCTTCTTGAAAGCTCAAGTTGATGGATATTGTGTTTTGATCTTTCAGAGATGGACCAAGACAAAGTGAAAAAGAGATAAGGAGAAAAAACAGAGCTTCAAATGCTTCCAATACCTCTCCTGCTAAATCTAAGAGAATTTTTCCCATGGCTGCTTGGAATACGCAGAAGCAGCACTTTGTACCCTCTTTGCAAAGTGCAGAGAATGTTGGTGTGCATTCTTACATGCCGCTTAAAATCAGAAGGCAGGAGTCCTCTTCCAAAGCTGGTGGAAATGTTTCAAGCGAGTACTGTCCATCTAAAAAACCTTTGGCTGCCAGACGAAGCCAAACCCTCAGATCCAAAGCCTATGAAGATGGGTTGCAACGCCCAGTCGTCTTGAAAACCAAAGAGCAGCAAGGAAACTGTGCTCACCCCTCTGCCAGATCAACTGCTGAGATTTACAGCAGCCAGCATTCAAAGGCCGGAAAAAAAATCAGAAAGCCATTCAGTTCTGAAATGATTTCCAGGTCCTCTATACTGAAAAGGGCCAGCGATCCAAAGCACAACCAAAATGATCCTAGAGAAAAGCTTCTGAAATGCACTCAAAGTAACAGGTCTCCGAAAGGTGAATGGGAAGGGTGTGATTCCCTATCCCAAATCACCTCCAAATGCCACAAGGTCAACTTTGCAGATTGGGAACCTCTTGGCTTGCAGAGGGCTAACGTAAGAGGCTCTGATGATGATGCAACTGTGTCTTACACAGAGAAATCCAGGGGGCTCACAGGATGCATTAGAGGAGGACAAAACAGTGATTGTATTTCTACAGTCCAACAAGGACCATCTTTTCTGCATGAGCTTTGCCAGGAAGTGACTCAAGAAATACCTGCTGATCGGACTAGGAAGGAATTGATCATTGTAAATGGAAATGCAGAAAACCCACAGATGCATTATCTTTTAAACCAGCCATCCTCTCTGAGTGAGCCAAGGGACACCAGTGCAGAAGAGGATCATGTCAATAGCCCGAGAAGACAAGAGGGTATGTTAGAAGAGTCCTGTAAACAAGAGGTGATCTGTGTCCCACCAATGGCTCCAGCTGGTTGCAGATGTTCAGAACTACCAAGTTACTGCGTGTGTGAAATCAAGGAAGAGCAAGGGATCGGATTTCCTGGGAAAACTGCAGCTCTTTCGAAAAGCTTGGACAGTGAACAATCCAAAGACGAGTTCACCATCTCGTCTCTCTCAAGCAGTGCCAGATCATTAAGCAGTTTATGTGAACAGATGGTAAAGTGTTTGAAATTGAGCCTTTCCATGCATTTTTGTTAGTGCTTCTGGATATTAACATGCTATATTTATAGACTGTTGCCTTCCAACAAGCCTGCCAAGAGTTTCCATTATTTCAAATGAGATGAGATTTGACTTGGCATTCCTGTTCCAGCTCTAGGCTTTTCAGAAGCTGAGCATTTGGGCTAATTCCCCAGCCAGCATGCAGTCCTGGGAGTTGAAGTCCATACATCTTTAAGCTGCCAAGGCTGAGAAACACTGGGCTAGACCATAACAAGTGGGGCGATAAGGTCTCTTGGGAAGCCCAAGTCTCCGCTAACTGCTAATACAAAGCAGTTCATATTCCTCTTAATTTCCTAAATAATAGCTGAGAAGCTGATACTGGAGACAGGGGAGCTCCAGATTGAAAGGGGCTTCTTTATATCGATGGCATTGTGGGAAATTTAAATGGCCTCTTCCCACAACCTTGATAAACTTGAAAATAGCAGCAAAAAGGAGGCCTCAAGCAGGTACTTGAAAGCAGTAACTTACTTTGTGAAGACCAGCTGTTTGGGCCAAAGCATCCTCAATTGACCTATCCCTGGCATGTCAGATAAAACAGCTTATTTGAGAATGCATTTAGAAAATATGGTAGAATATTCTGGAATGCTTAAATCATGTGGTCATCTTTTGCTGAGTCAGGAGGGGGGTATGTTGACTGCAACAGAATTTGGCCACTGATTTTGAGTACCCCTTTTTGAGATCTGCCTTTTTCTTCACTATTTTATGAGCTGGGACAGCTAAAAGTCCCTGGGTTGGTTTAAAGATTGTCCTTTCCCTGCAATCTGAGCCCTTCTGTGGGACAAAGGCCATATTTAGTTCTTATTTGTTGAAAAAACAATAATAAATATTTATACATCTTTATGCCATTCACTGGAAGTACATATTTTCGCTTTAAGTTTCCAGACAAAATCCCAATTTATATGCATCTCTATAAATTCCTGTCATTGTAGGGTGAAAACATTATACAGAAGGAAAGTGTTAACTCCAGGATGGAAATGTTTCTTCAGAAACTTCTAAAGGCTCCAGAAAATGGCACCACCCAGCAGGAAGTGTCTCATCAACATGAAAAACAGATGTAAAAACTTCGTTAGATTTCCCTGGCAAATGACTGCTTTGCATTTCATTTGATGCTCCAGAAGTTTCTAAGAGTGCAGTGCTGCTTCATAGTTCAGAATGATCTCAACTATATTATTATTTTGTAATAATCAGAATTGTGCTCAAAGATGTCACAACTATTTGATAGATGGTTGATAGACTGGTAGATGATTTGTTGAAGATCTCCAGTATTCCTTCAAGATGTTTTCCCTCTATACCTGTTGGATTATAGCTCCCACTTACCATTATGCTGGTTGAAGTTGATGGCAACATCTCCCCCTCGCCTTTACAGTCCAAGAAATTAGGGAGGGTCCCTTGAGAGACTTTGCTACACCCCTGTTCCTTCTGCAGATGAGGGTGTGGGGGGTGATGAGGAAACAAGCCTGTCTTCTGTGAAGCTGCAAAACTCAATCTTGATAATAAAGCATGAGACTTTTTTTTTTTGCAGCCTGAGCTATACTATCATCTAATCAGCTTCCTTCCCCCACCCATGAATCCATAAAATTACCTTTTTTTAAAACAGGGCCCCTGATGAGAAGACAAATACTGATCATGGAAATGAGGGCATATTTTCCAGACAAGTAATTTGTTTTTCTGTCCCCCAAATCTTTTCAGCTCAGGCCCCCAAACCTAAAACAGATTTTAAAACTGAGTTGTGTCTAATTGTGTTAAGAATGTTGTGGCGGCTACTTTATTTACTGCTCAGCCTAATCCAATTTAACACAGTATTTTCAGTGTTCATAGCAGTCAAATAATCAAGTTATCAGTACTGTAATGTATTTTTATGATGCTTTCCCCCCTATTTTAGCCATGACCTGACTAGTGCCATGAGATTATATCATATGCGCTGTTTATGTAATTGACAGCTGATCCTATGACATTGCAATGATTTTGTTTTGATGAAGAAGCTGTTTTGAATATCTTTTCTTACAATGGATCTTCTTCAGTTAGCCTTATCACCTTTTTAAAACTATCCAAACACAAATAAAAACATGTTGTTTCTATAAAGCTTTCACAGTATATTTATTATATTTACATCCTTGCTTAGTTTCATGAATGTTTTCTATAATACATTGAGGGACCAGTCTTGCACCAATAATAATCATTTGCTTAACAAGCACAGTTCATATATGCAGATGTTAGTGCTTAACATTTCAAATAACATGAAGCCAGATGTCTGTCCCTCTCCCCCAAATAAGTACAGGTAGTCCTTGTTTAGCAACCACAATTGGGACCAGCAACTCAGTTGTTAAGCGAAGCGGTCGCTAAGTGAAACCACTACTGTGCTTATCCTCTTACTTCAGCTTTCCTTTTGCTTTACAGACGGTACAGACGGTTGTAAATGCAAGGATTGGTCGTAAAGTTACTTTCTCATCACCATCCTAACTGCGAATGGTCGCTAAATGAAGCAGTCACTAAATGACTACCCTTACTAGGGCCCTATAACAGAAGTTATGTGCTCAAGTTAGTGAGGAAACTTTCAGTCACCTAGTCATTCAATTCTCAACCCCTCGGCTTTAAGAATGGTTGCTGTTTTCTGAGTGCCTGCAGCCAAGATTTGTGTCCACTGAACAAAGGTGTCAAGGTGATATGTAAACAAGGCCAGTGATATGGAGTCTAGCAACCTGGAAATCTCCACGGCTATGATTGCTCAGCTCTGACCAGCAATCCCTGACCTTTTGTACTTTCTTTACTGATTGGGTTTAGAAAGTTGCCCAACTCCATAAGACTTTTATCTCCATAAAACAATAATACAAAAACAGTAAAACACCATGTAAATCTGGAAAAGACTTACCTTGAACAAATAAAATTCTATAGGGGCTCAACATTAAAAAATTAAGAAATGTTAATTAAAACAGCTTGCCTGTGAAGAGTAAAGGGTTTTGTTGTTGTGTTGTCACTACTGTACATTCTGAACCAAAGCAGAGATTTGGAGCAGTCATTTCATTCTGTAGAAATCAGGCAAAGTGCAGAAATCCTTTGAAAAAAAAATGGGAGGCTCACTTCAAGATCAGCATCACAGCCTGGCATTAGCGATTCCCTGGGTCTATTGACAATTGTCCTGCATCCTAAGGAAGAGGGTGAAATTGAGGATGGCAGGACTATAAATAAAGATGAACTCCACAGTAGGGCGCTCTAACAGGATGGAAGCCCCCGTTGCAGTAGGCACTCCATCTACAGCAAGCTGAATATGTCCTCCTCAGTTCGTGATGGTGAACACTCCAGTTATTTCCTTAAGCCACCACCTACTTGCTTTGACTTAACA